AGGGAAGGAGGGGGAGGAGGCTTGATAAACGATTTCCTACCTCAATAAGACCCTTGTATTACGGGGCGATTTGCTGGTAGAGACTTTTATTGGAAGGCCAAAAGCAGCTTCTACAACGTACTGAACTCCACTACTAACTAACTGAATTATCTCAATGCATCCTTTTATATGGATTTGTGCAATAATCAAATTAAATGACAGGTTGCCATAATTATCCGATATTAACTAATAAATTTCAGGAGGCGTTGCCTCTTAATTAAAATAGGAAAACTAAGAATATCTAAATGATCTATGAATGAATCAAAAATCAGTTTGCACACGAATAAACTACGACCAACAAGGAAGCGTTTGATCATAGAAAGGTCAATYGTTACAACGGTTTAAACGGTATTAGGCCACGGATTAAATACCGATTGACTTAATAAACTTCAGGGGGCAAAGAGTCATATACGTCATATGACAAATCCAGGCCAAGCCAGGAAGGTTACATAAGACTAAGGTAGTTCAAAGTCAAGACTTGGTTGTAGGTGCCACTCGTGAAAAGCACATGACTTACGTATTGGAACTTGCTATTTTGATCAACGCTGGCTTGTGCATCGTCTTTAAGACATGCGTGTTCCCAGGTTAATACTATTAATTGATCGATAATAAAAATATTTTAAAGAGAAATTATATTTGTATGATTGTTGTCCCGTAACACTTGCAGTTAAACAGATTATTAGCGGATTTCTTTGTAGATGAACATTTGAATCTCATTTTGATTATCTGCTTGAAAATGGTCAAACGCGACATCATCATCATCATCATCACCACCGCCATCATCCTCCTCCTCCTCCTCCTCCTCATCATCATCATCAGCACGCCTCACGCCAGAAGGCGTAGAAACCAAGGAATAATATATGATATATAAATCCTAAATGTGTTTTTCTTTCGTTTTTTTTGCAGTGTTTTTATCGCAACAARATCTAGTGCACATAGTAGAGCAAATAGCAGCAGGAATGGAGCACGTTGCTAAACTTAAATTCGTCCATCGTGACTTGGCTGCGAGGAACTGCCTTGTGGGAAAAGATCTACTCATAAAAATTGCGGACTTCGGTATGTCAAGGGATTTGTACCAGTCTGATTATTACAAGGTAATTTACAACAACTACAAATTCTGAACTTTTGGGGCATAGGTCTTGGTATTAAAGTACAGATAATGGTATGGGTATCTGTTTGGGTATGGATATATATGGGTACGGGTCTGGGTATCGGTATAGGTATCTGTATGGATATGGGTATGGATATGGGTATGGGTATCTGTKTGGGTATGGATACATATGGGTACGGGTACGGGTATCGGTATAGGTATCTGTATAGATATGGGTATGGACATGGGTATGGGTATCTGTGTGGGTATGGATACATATGGGCATGGGCATGGGCATGGGTATCTGTGGCTATTTATTTGGCTCTGGGTGTTGGTATTGTTATACATCTACTAAGAAATACACAAAATAATATTTTAGCTGCCTATCTTGGCTACCCATTAGGTTATTATAGGTAGCTTTACCTAATTTTTTATTAATCTTTATATTTATTACTTGTAAATATTATCAAATAGAGGTACTAAATAATAAAGTATGTATGTATGTGTGTGTGTGTGTGTATGTCTGTCTGTCTGCCTGTCTGTCTGTCTGCCTGTCTGCCTGCCTGTCTGTCTGTCTGCCTGTCTGTCTGTCTGTATTAGCATTGTTTTATTTACTCTTCTGTTGTTTTCAGATGAGTCGAGAGACCCTTCTTCCCATTCGCTGGTTGGCACCAGAAGCATTTTTGTACGGCAAGTTTACTGTGATGTCTGATGTGTACTCGTATGGCGTGGTGGTGTGGGAGACCTACACCTTTGGCCTGCAGCCATACTATGGGTATACTAACAAGGAAGTTACAGAATTTATCAAGAAGGTGAGTCATATTTGTTTTTTGATCATGCATTTATCACATCAGATCACATCACATCACATCACATCACATCACATCACATCACATCACATC